TTTATTGTTGGAATCGGTGGAAAAGTACTCTGAAGGCAAGATCCAGAAGTCTACTTTATTCATCAGGGGAAAATACTTGAGTTACTCGCACGGAGTTTGTTTACAATAAACAAGCACGTGATTGCAAATGCTAGCTTAAATTTGTGCTTCCAGCTTAGAATAATGTGTGTAATTTAATGTTCTATGAAACTTGTGAGTCTACAGAAACTGGCGGTGTCATGCAACTATGCATATCTGACTTTAAAACCTCAGCAAATTACATCATGAGTGCATGTGTGCAGTCACAAGTTCGATGGATTTCTGCAAAGAATATAAAGTTTTAGTTTGTGGCTATGATTTCGAAAGTGCTCGACTTTGACATCAAGACTAGTAAGTAAGCCTGCATCACGATGAATGAATGTTTTATAGCTTAACAGTGGCAAATGGCCATGATTTGAGGTCAAGATACAAATTTACTGAGTTCTCAGTGAAGCTCGGCAAATGGCCACATTATGTGGTCAGAAAATAAATTTTCCTCATCTTTAATGCGGCCTGGCCATGATTTGCCAGAAAACAAACTTTCTGTGTTGTGTAGCTTGCCAGAAAGGCTGTGATTTGTTGTTATAAAACCTAGTAAAATATGCATGCTCAGGAAAAATCGCATGATTTGCATAATTTACCGCATGATAGCTTATTCTTATTGCAGGTTTTGGCCACCAGGAACTTCATTTTCTGGCGAGAATGTTGCTGGGATCCTGCTGGATTCCCACCGGCCAAAATCTCGCTGGGATCATTCCCACCAAGATTGCGGTGGAATCCCGCCAAGATCCTGGTCCTTATTTACAAGGGAGAGGCTGCGAAGAGAAAAGTATTCAAAATAGAAGAATTCAGCGACACACTTTTGTTCCATATCTATCAGTAAAATTGCTCTAGCCAAATTTCATGGAAAACCGTCAATTCTACCTACTCTATTAATTTATTTAAAGAGGAGGGATTCTCTTGAAAAACAAGTGCGAGTTTTCACCTTCTAAAGATTTATAAACATGTCACGCCTCCCCAGTGGGATATGTCAACTCAAAAAGTCACCAGACAATGATATAACAGTACCCCTAGCATTCACAGTATGCAAATTGGAGCTTGGCGAGAAAGCGATAGTGTTGCAGTCATGTTTAGACACGCACATTTTAGGCTGGTGGCCAACAATAATGGGCAAAACAGAAGGAAAGCGATATGCTACAAAACAAAAAGAAACTGATATGCAATTGCTGAAGCATGATTACAAGCAGGCATTCCTGACGGACATGAAATCTAAAATTGAAAGTATTTGATATAAGATCTCCGGATTGAGCCATTTGTCGCCTAGGAGTCTGTGCCTTTTGGCAATAATGACACCTCTATGGTTTATTAACTTTTATTGAAAAATCTCTTTTTCTTAATGATCCGCATGCGTTTTAATATTTTATTTTCATTTTTTTTGGAAACTGTTACCTCAAATAATGAACTTTACTTTGGTTGAAAAAAGAAAATTTGGCAAAAGTAGCTCCACAAAGGTTTGAGTAACCTTTAGCTTAATGCAGTGACACAGAAGACTTTTATTTGTTGCTTGTTACATGTAATTAATGCAATGACCCCCAAGATGGTGTTAGTTTGCGGACTTGTGAACCAACGTAAGAATGACTAGTTGAGGTTGTAATGGAGTCACACCTCGCTAATTGAGTCTCACACATAACCCAGATATTTTTGTCCTTGCACTTAAAATGATGTAGTCATGGATGCACCATGGCCTTATGGCTATTGCGCTGGATTCCAGATTGAGTACTCCGGGTTCAAGTCCTGGCTGGGTTCATTGTGTTGTGTTCTTGGGCAAGACACTTTACTCTTACAGGGCCTCTCTCCACTCTGTTGTACAAATGAATATGAGCTAATTAATGGTGGGGGTAACCCTAGCCTGTGATGGCCTAACATCCCATCCAGGGGAGACTGTAGGATTACAACTCCTACATGAAGTTGGTTCATGCTATACGGATAATAAGATAAGTGCTGGCCTGATGGGCCACTTGGCTTGTATGCAGACTTTACCTTACCACAGTTGCTCTTGAAGTTTTAGAAGAACTTTGCATTTTTCTTTTTTCTTTCAGTGTAACCAGGCTGCAGGCTTTATCACAACATGTGAATTACCCACAACACTCAGCAATTACAATAATTATGATACCTCCATAGGTTAGCATAATTTTCTGTTATGCATACTCTATTTTAATGTCAGACTAATTTTGCAGACAAGTAAACTAGACTTGAGTTTTGTTTATATACAGTAGATACTGGAGGCCGGGATAAAAGCAGTTGGGGCAGTTAATCCCTTATTTGTCGTAGACTTCCATGTTATTATGATGTGGATATTAGGTTATTTGGTTATCTACCAGACACCTGCATAAATGTCCATATCAGAGAGGCAAGCAACTTCATGTATGCTATAGAGGTGCCCATCTTTTAATAGATAATTTCTATCAATCAAGGTTTAACTGTTAGTACCTGTTTTCAATCTCTGCCATTTATTTTGTGTATCAAATACGTTGTAAAAACCTCTTTGGGATAATCATGTCTTCAGTGGTTTCCTTTGTTTGCAGGAAAATGAATTTTAATGAACAAGCAATCAAAGATCTCAATATTTCACCACATCTGGCAAGACTGGGTGAGTCTAATTGTTGTATTTAACAGTTGTTCGCAGCACTTGTAGCGCAAGAATTCTTAACTGGATCCTTATTTAGTTGGGTTTGAAGCAGAGCTATAGACTCTCCCTGCCTTGCTTGTCACCTCAAAAGAAGATTGCTCAGGAAGCCCACATCCTATTCAAGTAAATCACCTAGAGCTTTGAGTGCTATCTTCCTAGCATAGGTCTCCTGATGGGGTACTTGGTTATCACACACCTGACTAGTACGCTGGGGACGTGGAGTTTTCAACATTAATTTTGGCATATCAGAAACGAGACATGACTGAGCTAAAATTTATTTGTCTAGTCAGCATGACAAACAAAATAAAATGAGTCCTCTGTGAGGCAGGAGAGGTACGAGTGGGATGTGAAATTCCAAAGTGGTGAGGAGCACAAGAAATTAATACATGTACATGTAGGGGGGAATTCTGAAACAATATAATCATTACTCAATATTTTGCATCAAGCAAGAGTCAACAATTACTGTAAGTAGTCTGGTGGAAAGTGAGAATAAGAGGTACAGGAGGGGAGAAGTTCAGACTTGCCTGTTTCCCCTCTTCCCCCCCACCCCCACCTGTTTAGGGTGTACTCCTTAAAGCTTCTTAAGAATCACCGTGAATCATTTTATCATACAGTATTGAATTAACCATGTGTTAATTGATGGATGTGTTCTTTGCAGGTCAGTCTCTGACTTGTAATCTAACAGATGCCATGTCTGAGTCTGTAGATGTAAATGGAGAGTGAAATAAAACAATTGAAGGCTTAGAAAATGTGCTTCATACATGTAAGTTGTAACTTCAGAATGATTTATAATTATTATTGTGTGTTGTTTAAATTTCAGAAAAGTTATTTAACTGCAATGTTGCAGTCTTGCTTCCTCAGGTAATGAATTTTCAAAGAAACTGAAATCTTGTAATTCAACTTGCTCTAGAGATTGATTTTGTAATAATACTCAGAACCCTGCAACAAAATAATTTCTGTTACACTGTAGGTGTTGTTGTGGCTAACTTAAAAGGCCATCAGAAGCAAGTCAGTTGTGGCTCATTAAAATTAACAGCCGCACTCTGCACCTTAAAAAGTGTTAAATTAAATAATTAATATATATATATATATATATATATATATATATGTTTACTCCATATTGCTGTGGCAGCTGATCCTGTCTAGAATTCTGCCTTCATGTAGGTGCGTTGATGAAATTAATGAAAGACTAATTTTCACTAGCACATGGCTAGTATATTGATACAGATCATGCGGAAAGGCACACCATCCACACTTAAATCCATAACAAAAACAGTCTGAGTTTTTCCAAAAATTAATGCTCTTAGAATAAGAGGAATTTGAAAACACCAGCTTTTCTTTTTTGTTTGGACAGAAAACATTTTTAAATTCCTCTTGTGTAGTGTCGACATGGCCTATATTAAAGCAATTTACCATAGAAGTATAATGTGGATAACTAAGGGCTTTTTGTAAATACTTTTGGGTTCTTCTCTGGGTACTCCAGTTTTTCTGTCCGATCAAGAAAAACCAACATCTTCAAATTCCAATTCAACCAGAATGGAAGAGTCACTGAAGAAATAACAGCTATTAAGCTGATGTGGCTGCTCTAGGAATATTGTAATGAGTTCTTAATGGCACTTGTTCTCCTAAATAAACTACAGTACAATGCAATGCACTTCTAGTAAAAAACATATATGTACATGCCAGTTCATAATAATTTTTCTGTGACTGTATTATAAAACATGAATGCACCGTGTGGATATCAACAATTTGCTGAATGGCAATCTGAGATTAAAAACTTCTTTTTGGCACTAAGTATTGTTACAACTAAGTGTAAAATGCATTTTGGAATACTTTTATTTGTTTTGTTTCTCTTAGATCATGATCGGTTGGAGTGTGTTGTACAATGGATAAAATAACTGACCTTGCCCTTAAGTCGCAAACTGTATGGGGTGCTGTTCATTTTGTTCTTTTTCTGGTCTCCTGGCCCACGATAATTGGCTCTCTACAGGGCTTGCACTCCACAGATAGGCTGAATTTCAACTGTGATCCCAAGCCCAGTGACGTCACCCGTCAACTATGTTATAATGACTACATTTCCACCATGAGCCCATTGTTAATACCACTTAATTTTGCTCGTATCATCTGTGGTATTTTGGGTCTCTTTTGGGTAGTCTTTATTCTTTACAGTGTCTTAGCACTACGACGAATCAAAAAGGAGGGGAACAGTGGTAAAAAGAAATGCCTATCAAAGAAATTTATGTGGAGGTTTCTTTTTCACGTTTGCTTTCAACTTGCTGTTCTTGGTGTGATGATGGGACTCTTCTGTGGCTTCCAGACCCTTCATCTTCCAATGGTGTACATGTGCTCACAAGGGAACACCACTCAAATTCCCATCAGCCAAGTGAATATGACCTGCAATGATTTACATCACAGGGAGAAATCCAAACTGAACATTGGCATTGTTACGATTATGGCAATATCCATTGTTCTCTGCATAGTGTCAATTATTCACTTGTTCCTCACAAGGAAAGACTTTCTAAAACAATTGCTTGGAGACCAAGAAAGTGGCAATCCTGAAGCAATTCCTTTAGGTGAGTTAAGAAGTGATAAAAATCTACTTCTATAAAAGCTACTTTAAAGTAATGACATTCACCGTAAAGTGATGAGCTGCACCTTTAAAGTGACATGCTGCACCTTTAAAGTGACGACTTTCTTTTAGTTTTACAAACAAATATTTGATATAAATGTAATGTCCCATGGGGATTTTCCATGTAATGTATGGGGATTGTCATCCAAAAATTTGAAATAAACCCTTGAAGGAGACCAATTTGGATTTGTCTCAAACTTTATTTGATCTTTGAAAGCTACCATTCTAGACCAGACACACAAATAACAGCGATTAATAATGTCTTTAAAAATGATAAATACATTGTCCAGGGATTGGGAATGCAAAACAGGCAAATGAGCCTATGGCCCANGTTATACCAAAACCAAAATGGTACATTTGTAGTTGCAGACATAATGTCCGCCTGCTAGTGCTAATGATGAAACATGGCATTGTTTTGTATGACTCTTGTGACTGCTTTTCATACAGATGATAACCATTGTTTTTCAACGTAAGGCAAAAGGGGAAATAGCTCGGTTCTATAGGCCTTTTAAATGTCCGAATACTATGCCTTTTTTGTTTGAAATAAACTTCTTTTGCGTCCCCCACCTGTCTTCCTGCCCGCCTGCCTGCTTGCCTGCCTGCCCGACCTACCGAGCGACTCACTTAAATGCCATGTTCAAGTTTACAAGCTCTAATGATGTGATTCATGTTCCATTGTTTCAGATTCAAGTGCGGTGATTGTAAAGGTTTTATACTTGGTAGACGATTTTGCTGCTATAAGTGCCCTGACTTCCTTCTTTGCTTTAAATGCCAATCAAGGTAATTTATATTGATCTCTTTGTTTAATTCGTATATATATTTCTATCAAAAAATCTTTACAAGTTCAATTGATAAATAGGCCATAGAAAGACTGCAGACTAGCTATACTCCTTCTCATTAAGGGCCCATTAACCGACTCACTTCGCGCGCGTTGCTAAGGAGGTTAAATTTCACTTCCGGTTACTTACGTCAGCCTGAGCCCCGGTGGGTACTCCCTTATATGGCCTATATAGGTATGTGCGGCCCCAAAGGGTATGGTTTTACAGCCGTTTTGGTCATAAATTGGGTATCGGTTTTGGCCACTTTGGTCAGAAATAGGGTATGGTTTTTGCACTTTGGTCTTGAATTGTTCATGCTTTTTAGAAGAAGCTACTTTTTCATCATTATCGCTAAGACCATCAACAAAAGCCCTTCATAAATTATGTTTAGAGCAACTGTGTCAGCCGCAACAGCCGTAAATAGGGTATCAAATTTTTGGTCAGATCATAAATAGGGTAGGGAAAATCGCAGGCTTTGTTCATAAATAGGGTAAGGGTTTTGGGAAGCGGGCCCCACACCCCCACCCAATTTTTCTGGGATTTCAGTTGGGAATTGTATTCAGTGACTCGTAGGCTCAAACTGCAAATACACGAACTATTTAATGAACAAGCCACGTAATCTGGAACATACAATAAACGGCGAATCACAATGGCTAAAAACGGTGACGAAGCTAGACTCAAGACTCCAAAAACAGCGGCAAGGATGGCCTAAAATCTTANAAGGGCGACAAGCATCATCCTAATCCAAAGCGACTTCTGGTTTATGGCCGGCCAGGCATTGGGAAAAGCACATTTTCTCAAAAAACTGCTTTCGACTGGTCGAATCAGAGGAAAGGAATCCTAATGAAGTTTGATGTTGTGCTGCTAATTAAGTTGCGAGATGTGTGTGATTTGAAAGATGTCAGTGATGTTCTAAGGGCTTCTAAACTGCTGGCTGGTGATGGAGCAGTTTCATTCAATGATGTCTATGAATACATACTTCATAATCAAGAAAAGGTGTTACTCATTTTGGATGGCTATGATGAGTACTTCTGTTCTGGAGAACAATCACCTGTCCGTGACATTTGGGAGAGCACGCTACTGTTGGATGTCCACGTCATTATCACAACCCGGCAAGAGAAAACTGACGAGTTAATATTGCCCAGCCACGTTCAATTTGAATTAAATGGTTTCAAAAGTGACGATCAAGTCAGAGCGTTCGCAAGCAAGGTCCTGGGAGGTAAAGAAAAAGTTGAAGAGTTTGTAACTTACTTAGTCGAAAGAGATTTGAAAGACTTGGCTGAAATCCCACTTCTTTTGTTGATGCTCTGTATAGTCTGGGAGGAAAACCACTTTAAGGAACTGCCAAAATCACGGGCTGACATTTACCAATACTTTATTGAAACTTTGATCCTCCACACTATCGCAAAAGATGCAAAAGCAAAGCAAGAGGAAAATATAGACGCCCACAATGTAGAGCTTTGTGCATTAGGCAAGCTTGCCTTTGACGCACTTTTGCAAAATGTTCTTTCTTTTCCTATTGACAAACTGCCCGACAGCATTTTGAGCCAGAAATTAAGTAAAGTCGGGTTGTTTCATGTCCTCAATGCTGGAACATTTTTGAAACGCGAGAGACATGTTCACTTTATTCATAAATCAGTACAGGAGTTCCTGGCTGCACTTTATCTCAAGGAGGAGTTGTTAAAAGNAGAGCTTTGTGCATTAGGCAAGCTTGCCTTTGACGCACTTTTGCAAAATGTTCTTTCTTTTCCTATTGACAAACTGCCCGACAGCATTTTGAGTGAGAAATTAAGTAAAGTCGGGTTGTTTCATGTCCTCAATGCTGGAACATTTTTGAAACGCGAGAGACATGTTCACTTTATTCATAAATCAGTACAGGAGTTCCTGGCTGCATTTTATCTCAAGGACGAGTTGTTAAAAGAAACAAGTACAAACTGTCTGTCCCAGGTTGAATCATTGGAAAAGATTGTCAAGATGATTGAAGTTCTTAGATTCGCCTGTGAGCTGTCAGCAGATGCGGCCTGCGCTGTTCTAAGTCATCTGGGGATCGTAGGAAAGAAGGAAGGCCTGGCAGAGTACAACTTCACTGAGACACCTTGTATTGCAGACTTTTCTGACAATCAACAACAGTTTCTAACCCTTATCTCACATAGCTTTCTCTCATGCGCATCCGACAAGAGGCGAGATCTCTATCCTATATTTTTGGCTTACGTTGGTGGTGTTTTATTAATCAATACTGACCAGCTGCATAGCGTTGCCAATGAGCACATGTTGAGGTCTGCTGTGGCCCCAGAGTTTATCTTCTTCTCTGGCGGCCGACATACAGAGCAAAGCTATCGAGACCTAATCAGTCTACTAGAAGACCTCAGTGTAGTTATTGTCAGCTGTTCGGGCGAAAAGAAAGCTTCGGATTTTCTAAAGAAGTATTCATTAGAAATGGTTGGTGATATTTTTCTGAAGAAAGAAGAAGGGAAGACATACCTTTATATTGCTCGAATTGTCAATCGTTTCCACATTTCGCGCTGAAATGCTTAGGGAGCTCATGTCATCGCCAGAATCTACCCAGAGGAAGAAGCCAGTTGATGACCAGTCAAATGAACAAGACGACAATAGCGCTTTGTGTTTGACTGAGAACAGCACTGCTGATACTCAGGCCACTCAACATTGTCTCTCCTGTGTCTGGAATATTAAATTCGGTGTTGAAGAAAGGAAAGAGGTGGAGACGGTCATTGACGTATTATCTTTTATGACATCTCCACGAGTTATCGGCATTATTGGTTTTGGACGTGCTTCTGATCCTGTGTTGGTGGACACCCTGGTCTCACGTATTAACTTTACAAACGGACTTGATATGTTAGTACTTAGCAGTATCGATTTGACAGCCAAGCCTGCTGCTGTCATCGCAACATCTCTGTACCAGGCTCCTAACTTGTCTTATCTCGACTTGTCATGGAACCCTCTTGGTGAAGGAGTAAGTGATCTCACGCGACATCTCAGCTCTGCTACTCATCTGAAGACGCTGCACCTTGATTATGTTAAGATGACAAAGAAGCAAGTGAGTGATTTGAGTGATGCTGTACGTCAGACCAAGATCAGGGAGTTGCGGTCAGATTACCATGTAAGTTTTGTGATTTTTGTTACCATTTGTTTTATTTCTTTACAGTAATACTGGATATTGTTGAGCTTTTGATTTCGCAATTTGTTGTGTTTTTCTTGTTTTCCGAACAAGCGTCAAGTTAAGGTTTTTAAGTTTTGGGGATAAAAAGTGCTGTAAATCAATAAACTCAGACCAAAGCGTTAACTTTTCATTTAATATCGGGATGCAATAGCTATTTTAGTTTCACCGCGTACATTGTTGTGGCTCTGCTGCAAACCTGTTTGTTTTATTGGTACACTGCTTTGCACTTGTCTCGCTTGTCTGACACTCTATTGCACGTTGCTCGGCATTTTTAATTCTTCATGGCATGTAAACGACTTAGAGTTAAAGTCGTTTATCGGTTTATATTATATATTTATCCTGTAGCGTTATTTCATGACGGAGACTTATTCCGCCCCTCAATGGATATACATTTACTTTCTGGCAGCTGCTGCTTGTGCAAGCTTTATTTAAAGTTAATGTGTTAACGTTTTCTCGCTCTTGATACAGTCAGGTTTGTGATCTTTTCTGTTTCTGTTTTAGAGTTGGATTTATAGAGAACTGAATTCGTCAATGATAATATTACACAATATTAGGCGAATGTTTGCCGAAAGCAGATGTTGAAGAGTAATTAAAAATGAAACACTGTTTCAAAGGGAATTAGATGGTGGAAAAGTTTGGCTTTTGGTTCAAATAAAAATAAGTGATAGTAGGGTATTTAGAGGAAATGCTACGAGTGATTACGCTTTGAAAAATTAAAACAGATGCATTCTATTTTGCTAAAATCTATATTTTATCTGTTAAATTTGAAATTTAAGCAGGAAAATTAATGTAAGTAAAGTTACATGACGTTTCGACGACTTCATGTCATCATTGTCGAATGAATAAATTAAAATTAACGGCATGGCATATTTATAGTACTTAGGATGGGAGAAAATGAAATTAGCAAACGTCACATGAAAACATTCATGTAAAAAGTTTCGCGCGAATGGAATCCGCTTGCGTGTTCAGTTTGAGTCTTAATCAACAGCATTTCAAAGATTAA